CAAGAGTGAGACCTTTTGTCAATCACCCATTCCCTTGCAAAGCAGAGCGTGCTACTTGTCCATATTGCACAATTAGTAACACACGCACACAAACTTAGGTACTCTTCAGGACAAAGGCAGAATAATAATGGTTATAGATATAGATGGATATATGTAATATATAATTTAAAATTTTATTTTAAAACTTTGCGCATACACTTCTTCAGCATCCTCCTCTTTTGTTCATTGCACTGAAAAGTTTCAAAAAACACAAAATATATCCCTTTACTAAACATTTTTTGTTCTTAGGTTACAAAAAGATTAACATTTCACAGTCACAAAGCAGAAGTACGTTGGTCCAAAACCTCTTCTTCCAGCAGGTCCTCCATTCTTCAGGACATATAAAACCTAGACAGTTGTACAGATCTCGAAACAAGATGACTTGTCCAATGAAGGAAGGAAAAAGGTGGCAGCTATTTAAAAACAAAAAAAAATCCCAAACCAAAATAAGACACCTATGAAAGAACACCACCAGCAATGGTTTAAAAAACAAAACCAAAACCACCCCAACCAAACAAGAGAAAGAAAAAAGAATGAGAGTGGAGGTGGACAAGGGCATCCTCCTTCAAGTACATCATAGGTAGAAGTACAGCAGCACAGTTACAGCATCGTTTGGTCACTCTCTCTATGGCAGCCACAGCACTGTATCTTCATCTAAGACACATGGAGGAAAACTATTTACACACCAAAAATGTCAGGGAGGAACAACAATTCCACACAGCTTGCAATTCATGTTTGATACAAAAATGTTGAAAGTATTTGTACATAAAATGTAAAATGAAAGCAAAACGTGGAGGCATGAAGAAACGCAGCAGATTTGCTTGGAGTGTGTAGTGTTCTTTAAAAACCTAGCAAAAGTTCAAAGCCAAAATCTGACCAAACATCAAGTGCAGTTCTTCAAAAACATCCTGGAGGCACAGAGTCGTCTCTACCTCACAGACCTGTCCTGTCATATTTTAACATGGATGTAACTTTCTCATGGAAAGCCACTGCTAACAGCAGACTCCAACCACTCTTCCCTTAGCTTGTTAGCCCTGTCGTTTTTTAGAATTCATGGAAAAAATTTCTCTCTCTCCAGCATGAGGCCACTGAACATCAGCCCTCTTGGACAATACACTTCCATGTTCGTGAAGGAAGCATCATTGCATTAATGGACCAAAAGACGGTTCTGTGCCTCACTTCAGGTGTAAACGAAATTTCTAACTACCTTCTTCATCAAATTAAACAAAGAAGAAATTAGGCTGTAGTGCAAGAGAAAAATGTCCAAAATGGCTGTACTACCTTCTGCAATAGTATTCACAGGAGAATGGTAAAAGCTTCTTGGGTTTGAGTTTCTAGAAATTGGACTGGAGCAGGCACCAGAAGACAGCGTTACACTGCGCTGTCAGCTAACCTGAACTATGTGCATGCTACTTCCTTCCCTTGCCGCTCTCCAAGGAAGGACGAGAATTTGCCTGACTCTGAGCAGTGCCAAGGCAGGAGCAAGGGCACAGCGCTGTGCAACAGCGATACGAATACAGGTGCAACTCAGGACTGAGGTTCCTTGCTACTGAGGCTTAAAACAATTGTGGATACTAAGGGAACTTCACTGGCAAAACATCGTTGCGCTGCTGGCATCAGGCAGTAACTAAGATGACATACCAAGGATCTAGAACTTGGATTTGGTGCCCAACTTGCTCCAGTTTGAGGAGGCGAGCTGCCTGCTCCTAACTCAGGAGCACCACTGAGCCCTGGAGCAGCTGCAAATCTGAGCAGGGCAATGCCCATCCCACGCCTGTCTGAAAAATGCTATTGTGCACCATGGATCCTCCCCGCCATCAGGGATTTCTAACGCTGTGACTCCCAAAAGAATTCAACCTATAAAAGGAATTGGGAATTCATTTAATTATTCTTGCTTTTCACACAATACCTCCCCAATAGATGACTCCTGCCTCCTATTTATATGATGCTTTGGGGTGTATATGTATTTATACCATGCCTTGAAGCAGAGCACAGAACGCAGCGCAGGCGCTCCTAGTGAAAGCAGATAGAAGTGAAAGCCCAAGTACTAACGCAGCGTATCAGAGATGTACCAGAGACACTCTAGGAGGGCAAGCATGTAAATGTATAACAGATACTCTGTAAAAAAGCAGAACAAAATACGTTACTGCATAGTTTCAGTCACATACATCTGAGTAGGAAGCTTTTTATTATCCTTTAAAGTTCTCAGAATGTATTAATTGATGCTAATTTATGTTAATTGTTGATACTGTACTTCTGCCATTTCCAGGAGAGGGGCTGACAGCTAGCACACCTCCACCTGGGCACAGCCGCTGCAGAGAAGCAGGCTGACTGACAGTAATGCCTCAGATGAACAAACAACATATCGGAGGCCAATTCATGAGGCCACACCAGTGCCCACAAGATTTTGCTCTAAGAAGTCACCAGTCAGTTTGCTCCCACCAAGCCATGCACTCTGCTAACCCATCTCTCCAGGGGTACATTTAAAAATGGCCCGAAAAGAGAAGGTGCATTTTCCATTCGCTTGAAAGTACAGTTTTAAATTTTGGCAAATGCTACACTGGAAATTTATTTCCACCACATTGTACTCAATGGTTTTACAATGACTGGTATGTTTCTAGACACCATGTTACCAAATAACAAAGACTGCATGGGCAATGAAATATTTGACTCCAGCTTGTAGTTGGTACCAGCAAGCATCAGCTTCTTTGCTGTTCAGATGACTCCGCCAGAATTGCCAGCATTAGTTTCTTTGTGAAAGAGGATCTGAATTGCTAGAGGACTACACAACTGCATTTGCGAAGAGACAACAGGAGTTACACAGAGCATGAAAAGCATGTTTACAAGTTTATTAGGCCAAAAAAGAAGTGCAAGAGAAGATCTCTTGCTTAAACTTTAAAACATATGAGGGGCCACGTGAAAAATATTCTAGGCTCCGAACCTCTCTTTTCACCCAGCTACACACAGAAAAAGAGGTAAAGGGGGAAAAAATATAAGGAAAGAATAGATAAAGCATGACAACACATAATCAGATATGCCATTAATTTATGCTGAAGCTCTAGAATATAAAACATCCGCGTTCTGCACAGCTTTATCACATGCAGGCACTGGGGAATGCACGGAACAGTTTCCAGGCTAAACCCATGCAGCCTGCTGCACGTTCGAGCCATTGCACACTCTGCATTGCCTCCTCTCAACCTGAAATCCTACCGGGTCTACAGAGTTAGAGCAAGGGTGGTTTGGATCCACCGAGACTGTTGCACGTGTACTTCCAGATGCAATCAAAGAAAGCATCTGGGCAGCTGTACCGCACATGCGCTGAGCGGAGTTTACGTAGCACGTTATAAATTACAAAACTGGCAAGCTCTAGGCCATGCCTGTTCAGGAGAACGTCTGCAAAGGGCACAGAATCCTCTTTCTCCTTTGGAAAGGACACAACATTTGTGAGCTGCCTAGTCAGTGCCCTACGATTATGTCAGCCCCCCATCTTTTGGCTAGCCAAGAAGTACAAGCCAGATCAGCAGCTCAAGGGGGGCAAATCAGGTTGAATCCGTCTCCCCAGCCATATACCTGCCTGTACGCTAGAGCCTTCTGTTTGGGTTTGTTTTCTCTTCAATTCCTGCCAATGAAGTGAGCGCTGCCTGCTTGAAGACCAGGTAGCCAGGTGAAGCTGCAGGTTCACTCAGCTGTTTCCCTCTTGGACTATTACTTTTACTCTGATAATGTTTTACTCATATTTTCTTCATTTAAATTGATTCAGCACTGCTAAGAAAAAAACCTGCTGAAGCTAGTCAAGGGCTTGTATCTATCATCACAGTGATCTTTCGATCCTTGACTACAGCCCTTGATACCAAGAGGACAAAGTTTTAAGCTGCCACTTTCTGATCACCAAGTCAAGCAGACAAAGGTGTACTGAATAATAAGTGAGGCAGGAAGAAGTGAAATGACTTTTAAATAGATCACTATCTGGGTATCCAAATTGATAACGAATACAATACCACCACTTCAAGTAGGAATCCAACTAAAAATACACTCAGGAGCCCAAATAAATTTACTGAATCCCAACTGATGCAGAAGCTGTATGGTCAGGGATCCTTTCAACAGGATAAAGCAGGCAGAACCATTCAATGAATGAAAATCTCCGATTCCAAAGAAACCATGGCCTCCAGGTAAACATCACACAAAGCTGAGTTTACGTGCTCTGTATAATCATGGTATACACACAACAGGGAATCTTGACAAATAACTCCTCACACTAGAACAAATCTTGCCATACAGGACTGTGACCTATTTCTCCTGGACAATTTTGCATGTGGCTGTTTTAGCTGCAGTAAACAGGCATAGTCACACTGAAAAAACAATTTCAGTTCTCCTACTAAAATACAGGAGTATAATCTACTGAAGAAGAGACAGGAGAGAAAAATGGGGGTTCAAAGGATTACACATAGGTTGTACATAGGTACGTCATGAATGCAACTTTTTGAAAGAAGAAAACTCTTGAGTCTCATATATGTATATATAGGTATTTTTAAATGAGATGTGACCCAAGTCACCTTCTGAATATTTGGGGGTAGATTTCAGGAGCCTCCTTGACTTCTCATACCTACTTCTACTTTCACAGCTGAAGTGGCTCTTCCAAGCTACATGGTAAACTGAGGAAAAAAAAAAAAGTTCCCTGGAGGGACAACAGAATCCATAATATGCTAGCAGCATTTAAATCCCGTTCCTGTTAAGCACCAAAACCATTTCTATAGGGAAATTGTAATCTTAAGGGTTATCTTTAATCATATACAGTATATGTGCAGAGCCCTACCTTTCGGGCAGAAGAATACCCCTCCAGCATTAGTTTTGGATAGATTACATCAATTGGAAGTGTCCTGGTCAGATCACGAAAAACATATTGTCTCTTACAGGCCCTTCCCAAAATGATCCCCATCCTATAACCACTCTTGATGCTAATTTCATGACTGTTTGTTCCCGTGTATTAAAGGGATGACGTAGACAGAGATGTCGTCTCCAGAGCCAAGCCTGTCGTTGGATATTCGCCAGCCCCGGTCCTTCAGCACTCCCCTGGCTCGCATCACCAAGTCCTGCGCCGCCAGCGTGTACCTGTGGAAAAGGCAGAACACAGCCCAGGAGTGCTCGTCTTCACGAGGGAAGTGGGTTTCACAGCCTGCCAGATTTACTGTTGGGAGCCACCAGGACAAGCTGCCCAGTGTTTTCGAAGGAGGCAGGAGAAATGCAAACCACAGCATACCTGCAAAGCAACCCCTTTCAGTTCAGTGACAGCTCCTGCATCAGAATCTGAAGGTAACTGACAGCTACCAATTGATCAAAAAGTCACCCATCGTTTTAGGTGCTTGGCTTCACATGTTTTCAGAAAAATATTAAAACACTTGCCTTAACAAATCTGCTTTCTAGGAGTAGTCTGAAAAAATCCGAGGACCCAAAATAATGCTACTTCTTGTTGAAAATGACACCCTTGTGGACGGAAACATCTGAAGGTAAATATGGGTCAACTATGTCAGAGGCAAACCATAACAAAGTGATTTGAAAGTAATAGAGCACTAAAAATAAAACCCAAATTACACTTTAAACCAAGTAGACTAACTTGTCTGTTTTCCTTGACTGAGAGAATGATTTTTAAGCATCTTTTATTCTGAAACTGGAAAAAGAAAACTTACACTTAATATAACCAGATTAACAGAGTGCCACAGCCCTTTCACATTTATGAGTTCAATGTAAACTGTGTGAATGTGAGTTGTCAAGTGCTTAATTTAGTGAAAAAACAAGTTTCATGTCACTTCAAAACTCCCAGCCTGTGCTGGGCTGAGTGGCGCTGGATTTATGGGAGCTATTTGCTGTCCTGAAAAAATAACAGATGCTGCTTGGGGGCAGAAGGGTGCCAGAGTCCAAAAGGTGGTGTGTAGACAGTGCTCCATCACGTGCTCCAACACGTTTTCCCTTATCATGTTACCTGCTGTTCTACATCAACACACCTGTGTACTCGTTTAGAAGTTTCCTCTGAAAGAAATCTCATTATGGGTGAAGGCAAGCTTTTCTATGATTTGATAATTAAAAATTAATGGAACAGTTAAAAGACTGACAAGAAAAAACAGTTCAGTATTGTCTCTGCCTGTGTTTTATCTGAAACATAATTATCAACCTTCAAGATGATGTGGGGCTCTATGAAGCCAAACACACAAGCCACCAGAAGCAAAGCACATCTCTGTAGTTTCCAGAAATCAGGAAGGACAAGAAGGGTTTGCATTTCAAGACCTCCATTTCTAGGGAGGACCCCTGGCCAGAAATGATCTGCCCAGATCCCATCTGAGAAACGGAAAGAACAGTAGCTCCATTGATCAGAAGTGGTGGAGGTGGTGGGGAAAGTGTAAGTGAGTATCCAGGACTGTTCTAACCCCAGAAATTTTCACCAGAGAATGCATTATTAAACAGTAATTTCTATTGGTAGAGACTTTATTCAGTCTCTGGGGATAAAAGAAGGAAAAAAAAAAAAACAATTATGTTCTGTTTCTACAATTTTGGTGCCTTAAACTCAAATGACTCCTTTGAACCAGGAATAGATTTATTTGCTCTACTAGAAAGATTTCTTCAATGCAAATAAACCAACATTTGACTACCCAAAAGGTTTGAAGTTAAATGCAAGTAATGTTGTACAGAAGCAATGCACTCACTACTTCTAATGGTACCGAGTGATAAAATTTCCAGTTCTCACTAGTTTTGAGAGAAGATTTACTCTTAGCGGTAAGAGAAGGGCCCAAGGCATGACACACACGCTTGCACACACACGTGCACGCTGTCTGCAGGTTCCAGGTAAGTCTGTACCAATGACCTCGAGGTATAACAGCAGGACGTAACAAGAAGCACTGCCCCTACTGTCCTAATGCAACATGAAACTGTATTTTCTAAAGGGAAAAAACCCAAATGTACATACTTGCACTCCCCAGTTCCAAATCCCCAAATCAGATGCATGGCTAAGGAAAAAAAGGACTTCACATGGCAAGTGAGAAGCTGGAATATTTACTCACAGTATGTCTGATGCTGAGTGAATTTTGGCTAGAACATCTTTTCCAAGGATTTCTCAGCTATTGTCAGAATTTAAAAGAAAACACCCATCATTCTGGGAGAAAACATTGCCTTCCTCTTTTTTCTAATTAACAAGGGCTCCCCACATCTAAAGAGTACAAAGGAATGAGTATCGCTCTTGGTTGTGTAAGGCTTTTGCTGCTTAATTTTTGGAGAGGGCAAGATTAAAAAAAGAGCCATTTTAATAAACCAGAAATTCTCTCGTAGACAGACTGTGAGGTACACAAGAAAACCAGCTCATCGAAGCAAAGGCAAAGGAACAGGTGAAGGCAGCAGCAAGGTAACATATTCCTCTCCTTGTGTAGAGCTGAATTGAAGCGACACTGTTCAACTTGGCACTAGAGGAGATAGGGTGAGTCTCTTGTACCTGGAGATGAATAGCAGCAGCAGTTCATTACCAAATGCTTTATTCTCCAGCACTGTGAACTTGGGATTCAGCTGTCGAGACAGCATTAGAGAATTGCTGAAGTAGTTTTAAAGTATCCACTTCCTTCTAATGAACAGCCTCGCTGGAATACAACTTTTGTGTTTTAAGAATAAATATATAGGGTTTTTTTTTTTCCTTCTGCTGAAGCTTTCAGTATTGATCAGTAAAAGCACTGCAGGAGAAATGGTGACAGTGGGGGAAACGTGCTGCTGTCTGAGCAGCTGCTTAGCTTCTCACACCCAGCAGAGGTGGAACAACTCCCCAGCATCCTCAGAAAACTCCAGCTAGCATGAGAGAGAGTGAGAGGGAATGAGAAAGGACAGGAGGGAGGACGAGAAATAAAAGATTCCCAAGGTCAGTGGGTAAACCTGCATAAGCACAGCTGAAGGAAATGGGCAAGTCTCATGCTTCTCTATCTTCATACCTTTTCAGAGAGATGATGTATGGAAAGCAGCAGTGTGTGGCTACCACCTGTTCTTCGCTCAGGGTGCCCTTCATGCTCCTGTCTGCCACAATACCCATAAGAAATGAGCTGGCTAAGAAATCCAGCTCCACTCCAGCTTCTTCAGTCCATGGAGGAACTGTTCTCTAATCAAGTCTGTGCCCACCACCTGCTGCCCACATCCCCTGAGGCTGTGTCTGCTTGTCTGGGTGAAGACAGACCTGAGGACTTTGCTCTCCCTGCACTCGGAGATGCCCAGGCACATGCTATGTCTGACAGGATTCAAAGATGTTTTTCTGTGGGTAAGAAACACTCACAGTTCTGACAGTAAATATCAGCAGGAGAGTGTCCCAAGAGCGTTGCCGAGGGCTGTAAGCTCTTACCCATCAGGCTATAAAATGACTTCTAATTCAAATGGGAGGGATACTGTTCCCTCAAAGAGCTAATTATGTAACAGATAAGTACTCTGCAGCTGTAAAATCTTCCTCTCTAGCTTTTTTTTTTTAAAAATATGCTGCTGCCAGGGAATAAGTAGGCTACTGGGCCAGCTGGATCCAGACTATGCTCCACAGGCAGGTTCTCCAGAAGACCACAGCATTATCAAACCCAGCGGGCAAGTCTCTTACATTCTGACAAGTTTTCTACATCCCTAGAGATTTCACATTTCCAGCTGATCACCTCACCACAGACTATGTCACTACACCCATCACAGAACCACCTGACATTTTCTGGGATAACATTTCCTTTAAACATAACACTGATAATACGGCAAACAAGATTTTCCTGTCACTGACTAGTGAGAGGAATGAACGCAGATCCACAGTCTGAGCTGTTATGTTATTGTAAATTCATTAGTTATACCTCATTTGGACCACTGTGAAGTAATTACGTAAAACCTCTCACACAGTACTTTAAACTCTTTAAATATTCTTTACAACCGAGCAGCAAGAGCAATTCCACAAAGGTAATTTTCATAAATATCATTGTAAACTATATGAGAGACTGCTCTAATTACCTTTTGCAAGCTGGCTTGAGAAATGTCTTGCCACCACTATTTGTAAGCCTCTAAATGACCTGGCACAAAGTTACTTAAAAGAACAAATTAATTTTCAATTCAGATGTCCATTCATAGACCAGTAGGTCAAACACTAATGAATGTGTTTGTTCTAACTCATAACACAGCAGGCCCAGTACTGGAGTGTGTTGTACTCACACTGGTACTAACAGGGACTAATCCCCCACAATTACTGGGGCTAAACCAGCACAAACAAATCTAAATGAAACAAAGAAAATCTCTTTTTCCTTCAGTGTCTCTGGTTTCTGTGAGTATTTTATAATGGATAAAAAATTACTCACTGAACAAATAAAAAAGATTGAACAAAGGATTGCCATCCCTGCTGCAGCAAATGGGGTGGCCATCACCAGCTTTGAAAAGACCAAAAGGAACAAACCAGACAGAGCATACCCAGGCTGTATTCAGAACTAAGAGGTAGGACCCGCAAGGACGGTAGGAAGAGCTAACCTTTCCCAATTACTAGATGAGAATGGAGACAGAGCGGGGCAGAGGTATTACATTTGAGCAGGTGCCTTTGCAAGAAGAGACTTGGGGGTGCAAAAATGAGAGCGAAAGCTCCCTAGCACTTCTGAACGGAAAGTAGCTTGGCTGGGTCATCTCCTTCTACCTTAAATTAATGGCGTATTTGCATAGCACAGCGCCAGGTGCCCTGGAAGAGCCCCTTGTAAATCCTGCTTGATCTCCCCAAGAGACGGCAGAGACACTTCCATGTCTTGCTGAAGTGGAGACAGCCCTGGCTGTCATTCATTCCACATCTTCCCTTCAGCACAAGGAGGTGGGGAAGGTTAAAACATTGCAGTTGCAGCTCCATGTTAACCATTCATTCACATGAAGACATGAGTGCTTGAAGCAAAACATCATTTTGTGTTTGTGTCAGTGCAAGAAAATACTGCTCATGAGTTCCTTTGGAGCTCCTCTCATTTCAAAACCCAAGTGGCTCTCAGGGCATCCCAGTTATTTTCATTTGCTGATGGAGAATAGGGCTGACCCTGTGAAGATGGCCACTTAGAAACATGAGAAACACCAAGCATTTTGAGATGGGTTTCCCCATGTCCTCAAGAGTTGTCACGTCTAAACAACCGTAACTTGAGCTCTCACACCGTCCCGCATGTTTTCACTTGGCTGCCGAGATATCCCGGAGCTGATTTCTGAAGCTCCCCTTTCCACATGCCAACTAGGGATACGTACAAAGCCGCTCCCCACTTTCAGCCCAGGGTGAGGGCAGAAGACAGTGATGGCCAGGCCTGAATTCAGGAATAACACACATTGCCCTTCCTGAACAGTCCCTAGGGAAGGATAAAGCTCTTTCCACTTTAACAGTCTTTTACAAGCAAGAGACTTCTGATGTCTAGTGTAATGTTTTAATTCACGGCGACACCAAACTCAGCAGCAGACAGACTGATGGACTCACTCAAGGTAGACAGGGCTCTAGCCAGTTGTTTGGGAACTGGTTTGTTTGCTTGATGGTATGTTTTAAAGAGAGAAACTGATCAAGTAAGAGGTGATAAAGACAGGAAAATGAAGAGGATGAGGTAGGTTAAAATTGTGAAATGAAACAGAATTCAACTAAATTGAGTCAGATTTCCCACCTATTTTGTCACCACACCTGTCCTGCAGCTGGCAGCACTGAGCATCCCTACTGAAGGTGGGTTTAAAGGTCACAGCATGACCAGGAATGAGCAGGAACCACACTGTGCAGTATTTGTACATACATACATACATACATAGAGAGATGCTGATGATGTCATGTGAGAAACAATCTTTAGTGTTAAGGCACTACCCAGAGGAGAGTTAAGTGCAAATCTGTGACTGCTGGAGACAGAGACCTGTTGCTAAGACCTAAGCCTCCTACAGTTTTCACAGGACCTCGTACAGGAAACAAAATGGATCTCATGCCAAGATACTGTGATCCCACCACTGTTCCTTTGAAGGGAGACAATTCTGAGTTATAACAGACCTCCCACCCCAAACCCCCCACATTTGCTGCAGAGGCTCCATCCAACTTATAAGAATGTCTTCTTCTAAGTGTTGCTTATTTACTTAATGGTATTCATATTATACTTTCTACAAAAGTACGTCACCAGAAAGCGGTCTTCCGCGAGAAGCTAGAAAAAACAGGGATGAGCACAAACCTGTGGGGATCATCGGGGTCACAGTTTGGTAGAAAGTTAGTGACAGCTTCTGCCACTTCTTCATTTAACAGCACATCCCAGAGTCCATCAGTAGCTAGGATCAGAACATCATCCGGCCCATGCTCGTACTGCAGGAGGTCATAGACTCTCACCTAAAACAAAAAAACCCCAAGAGACATCCATGAAGGAGGAGAGTGTCAGACCTATTTGTGAGACATTGCTGAGTTTGGCTGCGAGTTAGCAGGTTCGGTCAGGGCACTGAAATACCTCTCCCACAGCTCTGCTGGTGGTTGTCTCCAATTTAGCCCTCGAGATGGCAACCCTTCCTGCCCCAGCTCACGTGCTGACCCCAGCTGGGATGGACACAAGCGTCCTTAAGCCAGGCTGTGAAGCACCGTGTTGCCAGCAGCGCCTGAAGCCTCCCACACCCGGCACGTGAGGTTCTTCCCTAGTCGTATGGAAGCTGAATAATTTACTTGATAAATTTTTGATATTTTCTAATAAAATATTCACAAATAATTGTTTTCATTATTTGTCCACATCCATTTAACTCTGTCAGACAAACTGCACATGTTCAGAAAGGCCTGTGTCACAGAAGGCATCTATGGTGGGTTGACCCAGGCTGGAGGCCAGGTGCCCACCAAAGCTGCTCTATCACTGCCCTCCTCAGCTGGACAGGGGAGAGAAAATATGACAAAAGGCTCGTGGGTCGAGATAAGGACAGGGAGAGATCACTCACAATTACCATCATGGGCAAAACAGATTCGACTCAGGGAAATTGGTCTAATATATTACCGATCAAATCAGAGTAATGAGAAATAAAACCAA